ATCTGTGAGTTAGCCATGCCCTGACTTGGATCAGCCCAGAGGTTGTTTCAGGGTTTGATCTGTGAGTTAGCCATGCCCTGACTTAGATCTGCCCTGAGGTTGTTTCAGGGTTCCATCTGTAAGTTAGCCGTGCCGTGACTTAGATCAGCCAAGAGGTTGTTTCATAGTTCCATCTGTGAGTTAGCCGTGCCGTGACTTAGATCAGCCAAGAGGTTGTCTCAGAGTATCGATCAAGTAAACTTTTAAGGCTACGAACAGGTTTGGGTTTAGGTTTTTACAAGAACCTTTTGTTTCCAATCTTCAAAAGCCTTCTCATACGTACAATCAACAATTCATTGAAAATTTATCATCCAATCTTAGAGGATATCCGAGGTTTTTCTTTTAAGCTGATTAGGTCTGTATTCCTTAGATAATCATGATAATGGTTTATGAATTCAGATCCTCATTAAATTAGACAGATTTTTATCAATGAAACTATAAACAAGTTCATTCAAGTATTCAATAACAATCCACTGCAGTATCTCCGTGTATGGTTCGCGCGTATCTTTATCAAACTATCAGCTTTTGGGCGTGGAATAGATAGTGTGATTTTAATTAGGGAATCTTTTTTTTTTTTTTTTGTTATCAGCAAGTTCATTTGTTATAACAAGGTTGGTCGTTGGTCGGTCATAACAGGTTTTATCGTATCAACTACTCAGTAAGTGACCACCTTCTATAACCGACCATTTCGGTTAAGGCGAGAGACAATAGGTCTTTCCTAAGAAGTTTCATATTTTGTAATACAGTAGTTTTATATTGCAACCATCTTCTGTAAGCGATCGACCACGACTCAAACAAATGATCCTATACTCAAGAGAATGACACGTGGTCTGAAATGCAGGAAAAGCTAAACACTTTGTTTAAGAGTGTTGAAGTTGCCATACTTTTTCCATTCAAAAGTACTCTAGAGCTGTTCTTTGAAAGCCAAGTTTACCTCCTTCCATCTCTGTAAGCCAAAACCAGATAAAAATCCCAACTTAATAAAAAAACGTACCGGATTCCTACGATGAATTTTATATCTGATGGGCAGAATAGCTTTGTCCTAATAAGCGTCAATCACAACGAAATCGATACTAAATTTTCTAGAAATTATTCTACGCATTCAGAGAGACCAGACACTAGACAGACCACAAGATAAGAATAATAAWATAACCCTTCACTTCGTAATACAACGAAAAAATTCCACTTGAATCTTTCCTCCCCCGTGAAATYTTTGTAAACTCAAGAGTTTAATGCGAGTGTGGTTTAAGGTATCGTTTCTTTGAGGTTTCCGAGGTTAGCCACGAAAAACCGCCCTTCAAATGACGACCTAGCTTAATTGCGCAGAAGGCGTTTTAATGCGAAGACTTGCCCTGCGTCAGTATGTTATAAAAACGGTGTCGTCTTAACTCACATGTGAGTAGAGTTTGTTAGGTCTCTCCTTTGATTCAAGGGTTTCCTTCGGGTTCTCCGGTTTTCTCCATAACCTGTGTTAGCCGTGCCTGCCTTAGATCAGCCCAGAGGCTGTTTTCAGGGTATCAATAAAATTTGAAGGCTATAAAGTGTATACAGCTATTTCAAAAAAGTTGAACACATAATACTGCATACTGAATAGTGCATTCCAAGACCGAAGTGCATTGTGGGTCATAGTGACATTGTCTAAAGTAGGATTAATAATAATAATTTATTCTATTTTTAGATAGATGTGGCAGTGCGCCGTGTGGGATGGGCTCGGATATCAAATAAGAACATGCGCAATAAGTAAGGTTTCATCTAAGGCTCGTAATTTACTTATTACGCATGTTCTTATTCTATTTTTAGTGTATTCCATCTCAAACAATATACTAACTACATGTAAAGAGTTAATGGCTGTATATTTACTTTTTATTTCAAATTAACGAGACCAACAATGGTCTTCGACTGCACCATTTAGTAGGCAGTATTCAGTATACAACCTTTTTTGAAATAGCTGTGTATGTTCATTTACTGCGTGGTGAATAGAGCACATTCCACATTGCACTGTATGAGAAAAGTTAAGAATTCAAATTGATTCATCTTCGTTTGCGCAGAAAATAAAGTATAAATGTACGATTGGCTACGGAAGGACCGAGGTCTGTTCAGGGGGAGATCGAGGAGAATGCCAGTCACTAGAGTATATTGATAGTAGCATTTGCTTCATCCGGATTGATTGTCAAATTTTTGCGAACCACAAAAACTCAAACTTCCCCAGTTATCTACTTGTCTTCAGTTGATACACCCCAAAACGGGAATTGAGTGGCTGATGTCATAAAGACAGAAAAGTTATTGGGAACTCTTTCCTGTCATGCATAACGTGTATACCAATTTGGCAACAAAACTGAATGATAGTTAAGATTATTTAATTGATGGATTTATGCATCCATCCATCCATGCGTCCATGCGTCCGTGCATCCATACATCCATACATCCTTCATCCATCCATCCATCAGTCCATCCATTTATCCATCCATTATATCGTATACATCCAACAATACATCCATCCATCCATCCACCTGACTTTACATCCAACAATACATCCATCCATCCATCCATTAATCAATCCATCCATCGTTCCTGACTCATGATCACATTCACCTAGTCAGTATTTTAACACCAATTAAAAGCTATTTAAAATGGCAAAAGAATAAAGATTATATAAGATGKTGAAAATGAAATCTTGAGGGTTTAAATGGGGCAATTAGAAGCTGATGGGCAAGACCTTTCCCGTCTATAGGAACGAAACATGTTTTTGCTGCAGAGAAACAGAAAAAAAATGATGTATAGCATTCATGCAGTTTGTAGGACACAATTATCAAGGAGAAGAATAGGGAAATAAGACCTTAAAATGAGTGTTCTGGAGCATTTCCTTAAAGAATCTAAAAGAAAAATTTAGTGTAACATGGGCATGGATGGTATATGACAGCAATATAAAACATCTGTGTCCTGGCTCAAATCAAGACACCAAGCTCACTGGATCTTTCAGCTAATCCTTTAATAGCCGGTTCAAACAATTCTACGTAGGCGTAATATTATGACATTCTTCGCAGCTGACTGCCACGAAGTTTTCAAGTTCTTTTCGGGTTGTTTCTCTTCTGTTGAAATTGAAGTACCCATTTTAGGTGTCTGTAATCAAAATTTCTTTTAAAAAGACGAGGATATTTTTGGAACTTATTCTCCATTGCGCAGACTTTTTATTTCTAAAGTCTAAAAAAGACGGGATCAACTTCCTTCCCAGTAATCTATATCCATTAAAAGGGTTCAAAAAGTAATCTCAGCCGTGATTGACAGCCGATTGACAAAGGAGCAATTATCATAATGTTTTTCCTGCAGCACTTCATGGGCTTCCGAGCATGCATACATACCGGACACGCGCGAATGTACAGCATTCCATTGAACGAGGAGGCTGGATTTTGACACCATCTCTTGTCTTCATTCTTAAAGGCTGCAAATCAAAGGATTAGAATTGGCCCGCCCAACTCTCACTCAACCTCAAAAGGCAAATCGACCAACTACGAGGCTAAGTTGGGTTCCGTTCGTCGAGCTGGTCTGTTGAAATCTAGAGTTGAACCATGGATTTCCTTAGGTGCTTACTGTTATTAGCAGGGGTTTTCCACGTTGCGCTGTGCTATCGAACTCGTTCACACCATTGTGTGGACATAACATCGAACACAGCTCCATTGTGTGCGAATTTATCGCTTGGCTATGACAAGATGATGTTGCCGAACTTTCTTCGCCATGACACCGCCATGGAAGTAAGACGAGAGCTCGCGCAGTGGTCGCCTCTCGTAGGATCCGGCTGTCACCCTTACCTCAAGCATTTCTTGTGTTCTGTCTTTGCTCCTGTGTGTATGCTGGAGCTGATTCCGCCCTGTCGTTCGCTCTGTTCCATGGTACAGAACTCGTGTGAGCCCCTAATGCGAAGACATAACTACACATGGCCCTCCATGCTTGACTGTCGGAAATATCCAGAGAATAGCATGTGTGTGAAAATAGAAACTCCTACTCCAATCCCAACGACAACCGGTGAGTAGAAAATAAATTTGAATTAGGTTGTTTTGGCCAAGTGGACACGCGTGATGGATCCCAAAACATCAGCCATCCCTTAGCGACGGTCGCCAGACAAGCTTATAAATATGGGTCAGAAAAAGGCCCTTAAAAATCAACACACGACTCGAGCTGTTGTGTTGTGTGCCTAGAATGTATTGGTAGTGTGTGAGTTTGTGCAAGTAAAATCATCTCTGGATACTGCCTTGAACGATTATAATAATTAATACAGAATACGAGTATAAATATCTACGACTTCAAAGCTTTTTTTAAAATATATAGATATATTAACTTTTTTTGTGTGTTTTACTACATTTATCCCAAGTTCAAATAAGATCTGTTTATAAGAGATGTTCTAATAGTCCTATTGGGACTATAAATTTATTATTGATTTTGTCGAACATTGCTCTTCAGTGTGTTTACAAACTTCACAGGAGACGGAGACCTCTCTTCATTGTTTACAAATTGTCTTACCAGACGGAACTCTATTTGTGGACTACTCTTTCGGTGAACCGTATGTTTAACTTGTGTCCTTTTGTAACCCTGTTTCGGGATAGTCGTGTCCAGAAAGTTACAGTTCGCTACTAAAATCTTATTAAAGCACGAGTTTTCCCGCAGACACTGGTACAAGATACTAGATCCTATTAACGCTTCTAGTACTCTTGTCCCCACAGCGATAATTCTTTTTCTGCCAGGAAAGATAGACATAGGATAGTACAATTTGTAGACATCCGTCTAACAGGATTATAAATAAATTCCTCTAAACATACAACTCTTAAAAGATTCCATACTTAAGAGGGAATGTCCACTATCACCGAGCAAAATCAAAAATACGTGGCACATGATGAAAAATCAAAATCCTTTGTATTTTGTCCATTGGTACTCTAATGTATACTTAGAAACGTGGTGGGGTTTGTTTTCTGAAATACTATTTTAATCGCGTAAAATTTATCAAAACGTGACCCGGACCCGAGATTCGTGAAATTAGCCAAAAACATTGTGTGAAATAGCCTCTCGTAAACTTCGCTCTGTTTGATTCGTATCGCAGGAAAGATGATTTTGAGTTTTGATATGTGTTAATAAGATGTTTGTGAAGAATTTGAGTGCAATTATATTCCTTAAAATTATTTTTCAAGGTCTTGGCAAGCCAGTAAAAATCGCTTTATTTTGAGAGCTAAAAATTCCTAATTTGGTACACTTTTTGAAAATTAATTTTCCCTAACCGGTAAAATTCCGATTTCCTTGAATTTCAGAGAATCGAAAGAGGAAATGTTGCTCTAAAACCTGATGTAAAAATTGTTTTGGGGCTTTTTGTTATTGCGGAATTATAATGAATTATAATCTTAAAATCGTGAAAATCACAACATATACCTGTCAACAACTCCAGACAATCCGGCACCCCGCTCAGACTAGACGGCCGAAACTTGAAGATTCGGACTTGTTTTCTCTTTTTATTTGGGTATGTAATATAACATGAAGATCATTTTAAACTAGTTTGCTTATTCATCGATCGGGTTCTCACAGAAATAAACTCTGTACCAAAATCATGTTGATTGCAAAAGATCGATGCGTCTGTTTAATTCAAGCTTAAAAGCTTTATCAAAAGCGCACATTCTCTAGCGTTTCATCCATTCGTTCCCGAAAGGCAAATATATTTTTGTAACATTTAAGCATTTCCTTTTGTAAACTATCATAGTCTATCGTAACGTAGATTAGAAAACCATTTGTCGGTTGCGGTCAGACAGAATTTCCTAAAAGCGCGCAAATGAATTGAATTCAACCTCGCTTACCATCGATCTGGAATGAAAAAATCTATAATTCAATTCTATATATTTTTTATGGTTTTCTTCAGTTTGCGAGGAAGATGGCTCGAATGTACCGTTGGACGAGCTCCAGAAAAAGTTCTGTGACTCCGATTTTGGTAAGTAAGACCAGCTTAATCATCTGGCAAATCAATGTGTACTTTAATTGCTTGATTCTCAAGTTATCTTTCCGAGTGTGGCGTGCCTCATTCTTTGAATTTTGTTGTCATTATAAAGATTGTGTTAAATGACATTAGTCTTAGAGTGTATTTCAACATTTTAAGGGTTATGTTCTCTGAGGTTTTCGTGCCTACCTTCTTGAACGTATATAATCGCTTTGCTAAAATTTTAGTTGCTCAAAAATGGAGGAGTTCCTTGATACTTTTCATCGAACTATGATAAATATGATTCTCGTTAAATACTGCAATCTTATACAAATCCATCCGTGTTTATCTAGTCTTAATTTCTGTGTACGATTCTTTTTATATAGATTCTGTTGGTAGATTTTTCTTTCCACATTTCCATTAGTTTTTCCTTGCCTTTCTAAAAAATAATTTCAAGGCTTAGTTTTTAGGAGAAAGACAGGCACCCCAAGGGTATGTCTACAAACTCTTCGGCGGTAACTGTTTAATGAACACTGTAAACATGCACCAAGATAAGCCGATCGCCTACAGCTTATGTGTCAGATGCCGTATTTAACTTCATGGAGGTCCGGCGAATACATTCAAAGATTACTCATCTTGGAACGCGCTCTGTTTCTTGTTATATATATTTCGTTTCTCTCCCACAATGTGTCGAGTTAATCCAACCAGTCGTGTAATCAATCCTCCTGTAATCTTCAGACAGTTTATAGGTGTATAAGGGCGTGAATAACTCCTTTATCAACACGTCATGTGTTCTTCAGCCCTTGCAACCCATTCATGTGCTCTTTCTTCGCTAGTGTTGATTACGCGTGAATCAATAAGTTTCTAAGTTTCTCTCAAAAGATAAGGATTTTGGAGGCGGGATGGTTGGCTATTATTCAAATGGCACAACTCGCAGACGATGCGCTTCTTGAAGTCTTTTGTTTTTAAGGTTGTCGTTAACTTATCGCTATGGTAACTAAGCCTTGCGTATTGCGGGTTTATTTGTTTACTCTGTGGATTCATTTAGGCCCCGTCCACAACATGCCGGATAAATTTGAATCCGAATTTTTATTTATTCGGTTAGGCCTACCGTCCACACTAGTCCGGGCGAATCCGGAACAATTCTTCACCGAAAACGAATTTTCGAAATGGAACCGAATAAATAAAAATTCGGATTCAAATTTATCTGGCATAGTGTGGACGGGGCCTTAGATTATTTGCCAAATCTTATGCGACAAAGAAATCCTTGCCAACAAGATTTATTATCGTTTTGATTGCATTGGATTTGTTGAAGTCCATTCCTTGTCACAAACATTGGTTTGACATGACCAAAAAAACAAAAAAATCTTTCGATTTCGGCCAATATTTAATGCCTGTATTAAAATTCATGCAAAGAAAATGTTAAAGAGAAAGATTTCTAGGAAGTAACTTAAAATGGTTTTCATTTTTGAAGTCGTCGCAGTGAACCGCGTAAAGCAACAAATTTCACCTGTTGCCACCAATGCGTCCCTTTTGCTATATGAATACAGAATATTCTTCTTTTCCTCAAGACTTTACATAGAGTGAATACCATATATCCCTGAAAAACTTTGTAAGAAATTGCACAAATTTGCACAAATTAGTAAGTTCAGTAGACCTCGGCAGACCTCAGTAGACCGTAGACCTACAAAATCTTGCACTTATTTGTTCCTCTTTTACCCCGACGAAGGACTAGCGTCCGAAACGTCAGTAAGTTTTTTCATCTTTTCACGGTGTATAATTTACCTTTTTATTATTACTGTTTCATTAGAAACACCGACGCAGCTCACACTAGTTTTTAGCTAGTTATATCTACTAATTTGTACAATTTTGTTAGTTAACTTTTTCATGGATATTCAGTAATATTTCGCACTCTATTACACGATAATGCGCTATGCACTATGCAGCATGAATTATATGGCATCCTTATTTGAATTAGTTGCTTTCAACTTATCCTTTACTGGACAACTGATTTTCCCAACGCGATGTTTTTTTCAATTCTTGAGTTTGTTTGACCACTATAAACGCTGGCATTAATATTAATAAACGTGACATTTTACTCTTCATGTATATAGTATTCAACTTTGTGTGAGGCCTCAATCGTTTCTCTCCGAGCTTCCCATGATCAATCAGCACTGTCAGTCATCCGTCGAGTTTAAAGGTTCAGCAACATACTAAACCTAAAACCAGGAGTTCTGTCTCATGTTTACATCGTGAAAACTAGCAAACGCCCTTTAGTATGATAGCTCACATTATTTGCTAGGCTATGAGTCTTTTGTCACATGAGATCGAGCGAGAAGAGTTGTTTGTTGGTTCTCTCTTGTGCTTCAAGGTTTTTTCTCCTGGTTCTCCGGTTTTCCTCCCTCTGCAAAAGTCACTGCCGGGCAGCCAACTTTAGTAGCCTCAGGCTATAGAGAATAAACAATCTGAACAAGTTTGAAGCTTCATTTATATGGTTATTCGTGATTGTCCCACTCTGTGATTACAGACAAAACTGGTAGATTTTTTATCGACATATCCTGCATATCATCAGAAATTTAGGTTATCACTGCTGATAAATCCACTAGAACCATTTAGATAAGCTCAAATATTTCCCGACGATTTCAGACTTCAGGGCGTTAGCTCATTTAGTAGCATTTCTTTCTTTATCCGGTCATACTTCGCAAACTATGTCAATTGAATATTATATTTCCCAGACTGAAAAGGGGAAAAAAAAAAAAAAACGTCCAAAGTAAACGTAAAACATCCGCGCTTCCTAGAATGACGCAAGGAAATATTACACCCGATTGAGTACGTAAAAGATTCTAATGAACTCACGAACGGGTGCTGGGGGTCAGGGCGCTTTTACGTTAGCGATACCCAAAACGTGATGCAATCTGCAAATCCTTTCCGACATTCGTTAATTTTTTCCAGAAATCCCGGTGACTACGGGGAGCGTGCTGCTCCTAATAAACTCTCACGCACCGCCGGGCCTCAGTGCATGTCATATTGACAAGAGTTTGGCTTGAAATAGTTTTTTTTTCCATTCATACTAGGCTTTATGTGCGCAATGACGCCGCGTTGGCATGTGTTCTTAATCGTTGGGTTTAAAATATTGGGTATGATATGTAGGATTTACTACACAATTGCGCGCAGTGTAAGGGCCCGGCTAAACAAGCAAACATGTTTCCTTAATTGACGTCTTATTGGAAACGTGTTTACTTAAATTGTTTCCAAAGGTAGCAAAACTGTTACGAAACATCGGGGAACATGTTTATTAAACATCAGTTAGCACATGGGCGCTTTCAAAATAGAGCGAGCGTTGCTAAGTAACAAACTTATAGAATGTTGACTTTCGTGGCTAAACGCAGTCTCCTACGCAGCCGCTATTAGTGTCGTCACGCAACGCTTGTAGTAGCTACTTAAGGGAGTGAGCATTGCGTGACGAAACTATATAATAGCGGCTGCGTAGTAGACTAAGCTAAACGAGTAAACATCGGGAAACATTGTTTTCATGCGTCTTGGGGACATGAAATGTTTCTGCATGTTTTTGCGTCTTGGAAGCAACATTTGTTGCACGCAGCAATGTTTCGCATGTTGCCAAACTTGCAAACATCGTGAAAACATGCGCGCGGTCAAACATGTTTCTGAAAGCAAGTTTCCTCGTTTAGCCAGGGCCTTACATACTACTGATTAATCTTTGCGCGCCCTTTATGCTCAAAGGATCCCTACGAATATTTTCAAAAAAATAACAGGCTCCATTTGATACTTACTTCAGGATTTTATTTTATTTCACAGCTATGAGAGCGCGCGTGAGTGAAAAGAAAATGAAAGATGGTTACTTGATTCTTAAGGCCACCGCAATCAAATCCTTGAAGGGGTCCCTTAAGCGCGATCAATTACAACGTCTACGCATACCAAACATGGAGAGTAGAAATTGTGGATACGTGAATAAACGAAAACAGTTTCTTATCCTTGGTACGAAACGAGGAAGACGGATGATCGTTACTTACCTCATGAAATGGAAGGATTTTAGGAACATGAGACGAAAGATTAAGGAAAAAGCATGCAGGAAGATGTAAGACACTTGAAGAACGCCAACGCAGAACCTATATAAACTGAGAAAACAAATCGGTTTGGTTTGTAGTTTGTTGACTTTTTGCGCACTTGTAGACTGAGAAAGAACGACTACAGTGCAGCACTGCTGGCTTTATTGTAAGAAACTCTCAAAAATATATACGCTCAATTGAGAAATCATTGTTTGGTTCAAAAACATGAAACATCGAGACTGGGACCGAAATGTTACATGGGAAGTACGTTAATAGGCCTTTTGCATGATGGCGTCATCTTGTTACCACTACCAAAATGCTTCGCGAATTTTTTTCTCATTCAAATTTGTATTTTCTCATGAGAATAGTAAGACAACTGGGCCTGGATAGCGCTATCCAATGGACAAATCCTTATCCAGTGGATAAGTCGATGCTGTTATCCAATATATTTATCCACTGGATAAGATTTATCCGCCGGATAGCGCTATCCAGGCTTCGTACAACCGGGCCCTGGTGCTCATTGACTGAACCAAAAAAATCCTGTGGAGGGGAGAGTCCGGTAGTGGTAGCAAATGATGCCAATAAAATGAACTATTAGATGTATCTAGCGAAACAACTCGTAGAATGTTGATAAATCTGTTGCAGTGATAGAAAGCATGGAGGCTTTTAAACATGTTTTATATCGAAGATATAGTTGTCATTTCCCAGGATACCTGTCGGTCTCAGCTTATATTTTATGTTTTGAATCAGTCCGACAATGATTTTGCGATTGGGTGTTTGTAACATTGAATGATTTTAAAGACGTATTGTGGATTGATCGATCATTCAGAGTTAAAATTGAGACTGATATCTTTCTTTTTCTAGCTCATTGTTATAACCGTTGCTTTGGAAGTATTCCTCGATTTTTCTTTTTAAGGATCAAAAGTATAACTTTAACTTTGGTTGATAGCTCAGTATATCTTAGGTCATTTTTAGCCAATCAAATTAGTTCTTATGGCCGATTGCCCCCGTCCCTCTCAGTTCTCATCTCTATTAGCGGTTCTCTGAGGTCGAGGGAAAACTGGGTCGAGGTGAAATTGCAGTGCATTGTGAGACTCTTTTAGGGAACATATTTTCAAGATGGCGTCTTTTTCGTCCCCCAAAACAGTCCCATACTGTACTTCAATGCCAACTCGACCCAGCTTTTTCCTCAACTCCGTAATGGCCAATTAGGGCAATATTTTACACTAGTTTAGTGAAGATTCATTGAATCCAAATCATATAGTGATGTGGAAATAGGGGAAAGAGACAGGGAATTAGAGAGAGAGCGAGAGTGAAGTGTAACCAAGCGCGACTCTGCAATAAGATATATATAATTCCATTAAATAACTAGAGATAGAAGGCATTGTATTTTGACTTGAACATTGGCTCTTAAGTTGGTCAAAATATCGATCTATCTATGCTCAAACAAAACAATATCCAATTATTTCCTCATTAAATAGGTGGCGCGCGATTGTACCACATGCAAAACTCTTAAAACATTTTTAATGACTAATAAATAGTTTAAGTATAATCCTAGACTTGCATAGTCTCCCTCGCATCCGTTTTTAGTGTCGGTCGTCGCGCAACGCTCCCTCCCCACAAAGCGTTGCGTGACGACCGACACTAAAAACGGATGCGAGGGAGACTAAGACTTGCATGAAATATGAATAACGAAGCAACATGAGATGGATTTTTATCCTAGAGTTTTTTAAATACTTTCCAAGTAATATTTCAATAGATTTCTTTAAAGTAAATGTTGTAAATTGCGCTTATTTTCGTTCGTTACATTCTCCGCCTGGCCGCACAAGTTTTCAATACCGAGCGCAAATACTTTTATCGATACAACTTCCAGTAACTAAGATCATAACTTAGAGTCATGAATAGAAGTCGATATTCGACTCGCGTTTTTATGTATGCATTTTAACTTTGGCTAGGACAATTGGTCTTTATTTTACCTGCGTTGATGCGATTTGACTAGATTTTTAGACGAAGTATTCTAAGAAAGATCTTAGCACAAGTAGAATACTAATAGATTAAATACAAGGTTCGTTAAAATATGGTTTTATAGTAGCTTGCATGATTATCCAGTATATCATTTGTAATGAGTCTAAACCACAAATAAATTACTTGTAAATACACACAACTAGTGCTTCGTATCCTAAGGGCCTGTTTACTGCAGGGAGGGTAACCATAGTAATAGTACTAGGGTTACCGCCAAGCAGGGTCAATTCTCTACTTTCACATCCCCATAATCCTTTGCGTCTTTGGGGGGTAACCAGAAGGTAAAAACCCACTTATTTTGCCGAAGGCTGATCAGACAATGTTGACAATACCTCGTTTGGTATCCAAAAATAAAATGAAGAAGTAAAAAACAGAAAAAGATAGAAGCTTGAAGACGTTTAAGGTAAATTTTAAACATTTTTTCTTAAGTGATACATTTTCTGTGAGACCAAAACTCTTGATGATCTGTACACGCAATAATAACTTGGAATAAACTGATAATCAGTATTGTACAGATAAAAGCAGGTATAGTATAAATTCAATTAAGAAACCTTTCAATTTGGGACAGTTTTTGATTGGTTACCCCCCCAAAAAGCAAGGCATTATGGGGATGTGAAAGTCGAGAATAGATAGCACGGATTTACAAGGAAAACATATAGGCGGGGTAACCCTAGTGGTAGGGCCGGGTTGCCCGGTAAGGCTGATTAGCAACGAGCGAACACTTTAATTAAATGGTAAGATCATAAGATATTGGCGTTAATGGTGACCTTAAAATGCATTCTACTAGTTAATTTTGATTCTCGTAAGTTTTTATTTACTGATTTATAACTATTGATTTTTCGTAAAACCAGAGGTTTGACAACGTACCGATAAAAAGTCGACCCAGGAAGTTGGGTCATCCTGAGCCACGAATTTACGAAGGAATATTTCTCCCGAGCATGCAGAAGGATTACACTATCAAAGAGACGGGGTAACCCTACCACCAGGGTCACCCTACCACCAGGGTTACCCTACCATCAGGGTCACCCTACCATCAGGGCAAACCTACCATCAGAATTAGCTAGGGTAGTCCTTTTACTAGGGCTACCCTCCCTTAATTATAAAGAGGCCCTAAATAGCAGGCGCGATTTGGCAACGTGACAAAATAGGGATTTGGTGGACGTCAATCAAAGTGTTTCCATGACAATGTCGGAAAACAAAGTTTTCATTAACAGATGCATAAGACTATCTTGGGTGGGAACGCCTTGATTGACGTCTTCGTCGGCGAACCGAACATTGATAAGAACCACAAGCGACCCGCCTTACTAATGGTTCCGGCTCCCCATAGTTACCGTTGCTATGTTCAACGATCGTACCAATTGACCCTTATGCACGACATTATAAGATATTTGATTTTTTGGAAAAAGGAGTTTACAATCAAATTTTTCACATCAAAAATAGTGAAGTTGCAAAGTCTCATGAAGGTTGCTCTTAAGATGACGAAGATATTAATTTTTGAAACTAAGCATTTGCAAATATGTTGAATCGCGTGTCATCGGTATTTAAATAGTTTAATCAAAATTACTTCTTGTGACATTTGAATATTATTCAGCTAAAGAAAATTCACCATCTAAAGCTGTACAATGGCTATCCAACTATCGGTCCACGTATCAAACAATTTCATCAAATCATTTGATAGCAGAGTGTAGGAAGAGTCTTTTCATGGGTAGGTACACGTAACGGTCTGGCAATGTTCGATTCCTAGTCCTTCCATGAAAGCAGAGTTGGTTGGTTGTCTTTCTGACTTCGAGGGTTTTTTGACTCATCGGTTATTCTTTCCTCCTCTCAAATCAACCCTAACTAATTCAAACTGGTCAGAGCTTTTCTCCAGAAGGGTCATAGTACATGGACTGTATAGCCGGGCTGCCAGAGTTGCGCCACTGTGATGTGGTACACTCGCGACTAGCCTATTGAACACAGGGATTTCTTTATATTTATCAGTTCAATTCATTATTGCTCTTCAGTTAATTCATCAAACTACCTCTCTGGTAGATAGTATGGCCGCCTGGCGAGAGATCTATGAGACATTGTACGACAATAACGACAATAAAGCTTGGCTCTCCCTCAGCGTATCTTGTAGTTACTCGACTGAAAGACCTTGGTTTTTGAGTTTGTTCGTTCGGTTTTGTCGACGTGTATGCGAACACATCGTAAACCATCCCCCTCCGCTTCTGCTTTGTTCGTTTGCCAAAAGCACGCTGAATACTGAAAGAGCTTCAAGTGGCGCTCACCCGAATGAACTCGAAATATCTGAGCAGAATTTGCCCCAGAACTGTCCGATATCATAGCAATGTTCTTTCTTAGTATGGTTGGAATTTCTTGTTGATTTTCAGTAGAATTGATAGTTTTGTTGCTTTTATCCATCGGTCGTCGAACCGCCCCGGCATCCTTAGTTTTTTTGTGTCCAGAGCAAAGAAATTTTAGACTTTTTGTTTTGCTTCCTTTACGACAGGAAAACGACATTTTGGGTCTAACAGTGACGAGGCTATGTATCCCTTCGACAAACGAAAAGTGAACTATAATTTTTCAGGTTTGAATACTTCTCAGCGAACTAATTGATGGTGACTCGACATGATTAATTAGCACCATTGAGGCGTGATATATGCCTAATGAAGGACTAAGCCATCATTATCCTTGGACTTGAAAAGGAACATGTGATCAATTAGTTATTTTTTCTTGGATCAAACCAAGTCGACGAAATAGAACACCCGAGACAGACAGACAGACAGACAGACAGACAGACACCCATACATACAGACAGACAGATAGACAGACAGACAGACAGACAGACATACGGACAGACAGACAGACAGACAGAAAAACGGACAAGCTGTATTTTTCTACTGGGCTTCCTGTGGCGGGAAGGTATTGCAATGTATGATGGTTGATCGAAACGGATGTTGTTAAAAAAGCAAATGGCGGGGTGACAAATATCTGATTGTTTTTAAATTTTCCAACTTTTTCCACCACCAAATACAGCCAGGATGCCTTCAGGAAGCCATTTCACCACATCCAGTATTCTGGCTTTCATTTCCCTGAGTCTGATTCGTGGCAGCTTTTCCGTTGTCATCCATTTTGCAGATCTTTCGTACAACTCTCCGAGCCTTGTATTTCTTCTGCGGACGCCAGGAACAGTCATCTTGTACATTTGTCTGCTTATCTTCGTGGCTCGTAGAGACACTGAACTCAAACATACTTTCTTGAATAATTTGCGGAACATTCATAATTACTGGAAGTCTGCCGTCATGGGTTTTCTGCAGCTTGCAGCGCCGTATTTACTGTTTATGTATGGGCTCAAAGTCATGAGTCCAACTGCTGGAGGAGTTTTTATGGCCGCTGCTCCTTGGACTACGGTTATCTTAGAGCGTTTGCCGTTTATAAGGGTTAGTATCTGCATTATCTTCATACATTTAACTACATTCTTAAAAGAAAGTTCAGATTATTTATTTCATTGAAATATTTCGTTTTCTAACGATTGATTTGAAGTGTAATTATAGCGTTGACACAACCCGGAAGTAGTTGCTTTACTTTCCATTGATTGTTATTTCTTCCGGTAATGTGGATAAAAACCGCTAGAATAAGTTTTTTACATGAAAGAGTATGGTACGTTAGGATAAAAACTAGTACTATTGCTCATAAAGGAGGAAGAAAAATGACCACCACCTATTTAGCTCTGTAAGAGCATCAGTCTGTTGTGTAGGGGGTCTTAAACACTCAGAGGAGAAGGTGCATGCCGCCTTCATAATTATATCTGTGAATGGTTACACCTTCACATGGCTTGGATGACCATGTTAAAGGCAGTCCTGTCCCTAATCAACTAGAGATGTAAAAAGAAAAGCATGAGTCCAAGCTCATCAGTTTAATTACTGTCAACTGTCATCCTCAATTAACAAATAAAGTCGATTGATAGATTGATTTGAAATTTATGCTTTTCTTTTTATCCACAGCAAAGATCCAATCTCTCTCCAGTTAAAATCCTAGCCATGATTATAGGGTTTGCTGGAGTTATCATGGTGTCAACATCAGATGTACTAATGGCCGTTCACTCACATGTAGAGTGTCCAAATTATACAAACCATACAAACATGTCATTCCTTAGCAACAGGACAAACAATAGTGCGATGGGTTCTCTTGTGAGAAACAAATGTCATAAATTTCCAATACCCTTGATTGTCAGATCACTACTTGCTCTGGTTGGTGGCTGTATGATGTGGTCTATTAGTTCAGGTATGGACTCATCTCCAGGGTTCAAAATGATGGCCAGACATCAGACAATGTTGGCTCTAGCTTGGGTTGTGTTACAGTCGCCAAAAAGTTTGGACATTGCTCTTGGATTCCCATACAAATTCACTGAGTTTGAAGAGAAAATTTAGGTAGATTTCTTTGGTTAGCTTTCTTAACAGCAGTAAGAAAAGCTTCAATCAAGCTAGAGAAATGATATTTTACTTGTATTTAGAGAACTAACTAAATATAACAAAGTAAATAGTTCATTTAAAGCCAGCACATTTGTATGGAAATTCGAGAACATGTCCGAATATTTTGGTGGACGCAATACAATTCAAAACAATTTTATACCACATGACAGCTTGCGCCGAAAAGGTGAATGGGGGCTCATATGGCCAAAAATGTTTTGGTAGTAATATTGACCAACAACATTAAGCCAGAAATGAGGTACATGTATGACCAAGCTACAACTAATTTTGGCCGACCATCATGATCGGTGACTTTCTGGCCATTATTCAGAAGCCCTGATCTCAATGGTAGATCTAAGAGGGCTTTGGGGAGGAAACGTTGGCCCAAATTGAATAAAATAAATAACTCTTTTAATTTATACATGGTAGGTTTAAAAGCTATTAGCCATTCGAAGGTTGAAGGAAGAAAAACCTGGGACAAGTTGATATTGCAGTGCATTTTGGGACTTGCAATGTTTTGGGGGATGGCATGTATTTCATCACCTAAAACATTCCCACAATGCACTGCAATGCCAACTGGACCTAGTTCTCCCTCCATCCTCGGATCAGCTAATGGTGTTATAGAGCCTTGTCAGTCCTCCATACACACTCCTTACTACATTCAAATATTCTATTCACACAACTCTCAACTCACATGTTGATTTTTATGGAGTGAGAGAAACCAAAGAACCCTGAGAAAAACTTTATTGGCTAGAGAGAACAACACATCAAACAAACTCAATTCACATGTGGCGTCCGGAAGGCTTGAACCAGTAACCTAACCCATAGGACTTACAGTGGTGAGACATGATGAATTAGCAGCTTACACCTCATCCATTTATCATCATCATCATCATCATCATCATCATCATCATCATCATCATTAAAATTTATTGATTTAATTTAGTTATGTTTTTTGTGGTAGTGTTTTGGAGATCGTACCGAGGGGACATTCATTTTGCTGTTGCTGGTGTGTGGAATAACATATTTGCCAGTTGTTATGCACTAATGTTTTGGGTTGCAATGCACCGATATGAAAATATTGACAAGGTTAGTAACACGTTTTATGCTACTGGTTCCTAGTTTAGTCATCAATACAATTTACTTCATATTTGGGGTGAGGCAAATGCCTCCCTTAAATCATAATAATTAATTTCATTTATAGAGGATAACACTTGATAGTAATTCAACTGATAAACTTGTGGTCCTCTGTTAACATCTCTAGTTAATTAGGGACGGGGCCGCCATTAATGTGATCATCTGAGCCATGTGAAGGTCTAACCATTTGCAGATGTAATTACAAAGGTAGCACCTTCTCCTCAGTTATTTTAAGACCCTGAGTATTGGTCCGGCCAAGGCTTGAACCACAACCTTCCGCACAATGGACCAACGCTCTTACCAACTGAGCTACAGTATTGGTTGGGTGGCGGTATAAAGATTCCAGGCTTCCCTTTGTCAGTGGATGAGAAAGATTAGTCCCATTTTGCCAAAGTATTACAAAATTTATCATTTTTAGTGGGTGCTTCTAATATTAGCATCAGATATATTATTGGGTGAAAAGCATGAGATGAATGAGATGAATGAGAGCTAAGTGTACTACATCCCAGGGGGGGGGGTACTCCCCTATATTTGCTATACGGGTATGTGCCGCCCTATAGGGTATGGTTTTTGGGTCTGGGGTAGGGTATCATTTTTTTACATTTTGCAATCGATTGTAAAACCGTATTTTGCGTCTTTTAGTCTGGGATAGGGTGTATAATTCTTAGTTTTAGTCTGGGATAGGGTATGTAAAATCAGAATTTTAGGTCTGGGATAGGGTCAGGTTTTTGAGGTCCTGGCTGCACACCCCTACCCAAGTTGGGGTGGTAGTACCCCCCTCCCCCCCGGGTACTACACCACCCTTGTTTGTAATTTAGAATGTTGGTTTTGTAGAGGATTTAGAGCTAGAGTCTAGATTTACCTAAAAATCATGTGGGGTGTTTGATTGCATTTTATTTGAAATGTTTCAGGTTAATTGGTCCAAACCAGATGGTATTGTGTCCATTATCTTTCTTACTGTTTTTTCTGGTTGGGTTGCTGCTCTTATTGTTGATTACATGTACAGGAATGTAGGTATGTTTGTAAAGGCCAGTTTTGACGGTACAATTTTCACCTACAACTATCGTATACAACACGCTTGTGCCATCCTACAACTCGTGTTGTAGCGTGTAAATCAAGCCTACAACTTGCCTACGACAGCTGCACAAGCATATGTTGTATACTATAGCTGTAGGCGAAAATCGTACCATCTAAACCGGCCTTAAGATATCCTGCTGTGTAAATATCTGTTAAAAATGGAGAGGGAAATAATTTTTTAAAACAAATATAAAGTAGGAGTGGCTGATCTGCATGGACATTTAGAAGGGCAAGTCATTGTAAAGCCCATAAAATATTGGAGATGGGAATATCCAACAAGTATTCACCAAAGGTGAGGTGAGTATTGGTGAATATTTACCAAGCGGCGAGGTAAAATAATATTCACCATATATAACCACTGAGCCTGAGGTAAATAATTGTTTTAGTATAATTTTAGACTTGGATATCAGAAAAAAGATGACATACTGGATTAAATTTTTTTTAGTATTATTTCCGCTCTTGCAAACTTTGGAAAACCTCATAACCACTGCTTGAGCTGTGAATATTGTCTCTGAAACAATGGTCGCACCACCAATTACCGCATGCAAAAATCTATGTTCATGTCTAAAATTATACCGATGTATATTTTCTTGGTGTATTATTTAATGTTCTGCTAATATTTTTGAGATTCGATTGAGTTTGAACGAGAAAATCTAATATGTTGAAGTTGAATGCAAATGAAGACAATTCTGTCTCCAATTTATAGACATAGAGAGATCCTGGGTGACTGATTTCTATTGTGTTATTCCTTGTTTATTGTTTATATAATTTGATATATTAAGTAACTTGAACATGCACCATAACTACAGGTCCAACAGCAACAAACAGAGTGTTGTGCCTTGTACCTCTCTTTACGTGGATTGAAGACTGGGTGTTTGTGCGTGAATTTAAGACACTTGCAGATTCAACACTGGTTGTTACTGAAATCCTAGGTAAGAAACCATCATACAGGAAGGGGCCAGGATTTTAAAAGGAGGTAACTTTGCTAATCTCACAAGAAAACCCACCTTAGGGCCCCCCCCCCCCCCAGATCCACTCCAGGCCATGATTGAATTCTGAAATTTTGTTTGTCAATTATTATGGAACCTTTTACATTGTGCATAATATAATTTCTCGAGCATTACAGGGAAACAAAGAATATTTTTAATTTCAATGGAATGACAAAATAAAGGAAATAATACACAAGGGAATGACACATGGTCTGAAGTGGGAAAACATTACAACCCAAAGGATCTAAAGGAAATAATACACAAGGGAATGACACATGGTTTGAAGTGGGAAAACATAACAATCAAAAGGATCTAAAGGAAATAATACTCAAGGGAATGACACATGGTTTGAAGTGGGAAAATATTATGCCCAAAAGGATCTAAAGGAAATAATACTCAAGGGAATGACACATGGTTTGAAGTGTGAAAACATTATGCTCAAAAGGATCTAAAGGAAATAATACTCGAGGGAATGACACATGGTCTGAAGTGGGAAAACATTACGCCCAAAACAAAAGGATCTAAAAGAAATTAATGCTCATTACAACTGAATTAATTTACTAAACATTAATTTATAACGATTTCTTTTCAGGCTTGGTTTTGGTGTTTGCTGGACTTGTGACGTTCAGTTTGGAGGTTGAGGGATTTCAAAACTCTCTTCAAACTCCATTGCTTTCTCCAACTATGGATGAGGTAAGTCGTTGTCTACGATTTTCCATGGTGCACTTGGCTTTTAGAAGCTGTAGATGAAGATGTCGGCTAGGTGGGGAGTCAGTTTTCGCTTATTATCATGAGATAGTTAGATTTATTACACATTTAGGTTCTCTCTCAGTGCTAAAGCAGTGAATAAATACTATGTCAGTAAACTGGAACTGATAAAATATCATGATAGCACTTAATAGAGGTATTGTGGAACCTATTAGTCTTACATAGTGGTAGATAGTGTGAAGACACTTTGCTTGTGGAAGGTTACAATTTAAATTAAATGGCAATAAAGGAAATAAAGTAAGAAACTGTCACACAGCCATGGATTACTTCGACAATACAGCAGCCATCTTGCCAGGGGGGCAAAGAAAAACAAAGATGAAAAATTTATAGTTTATATGTTTGTCATATTTTTTGCTTTCTGTTGTTGTGAGCTGTTAATATCAATCAACATCATTACTGTAACAAAGCTTTATTTGTCCCCCTGGATGCCCCATAATGCCTTGCAATCCAAGATGGCCACCACATTGAAGTAGTCCATTGCTAAGGGTGTGGTTCTTGGGGAGGGATGGAGGAAGACAACCATAAGGACTTATGATACTTGCTTTGAACAATGGATAAGGTAAAAAATTAAATAATTAAATAATTATTTTTTTAGATTCGAGATCAAGATAATTTCCTCTGTAATGTGCGTGCAGTATCTAATGTAGATCTTACGTAGTGTTTAAAAAACGAGTAGGAGTGTTTTATCAGGTATAAAAGCACGAGGCTAYGCCTCGTGCTTTTATACCTGATAAAACACGATCTACTCGTTTTTTGAACTGCTTAAAACACTCATGAACAATTTATAAGATTTTGGTTCAACTGGAGCCACCATACACGTCACGAACATAGATTTTTATACTTCGATAGAGATTTGACGTCATGGGCATGCGCAACCAGATTCAATAGAAGCTCCCACACGTTGGATATTGGGTGCCAAGGCAAAGACAGGCACGTTAGTCAAAGATCATTAGGGTTGACTATGACCTTGATGAAGCTCTATGTCTTCATCTAAACTTGGATGCATACTTCATCCCTGATGAAGTCATCCTCATAGTATTCGAGTGGTCTTTATATAAAGATCACATGTCTTTATATAAAATTTTTTGAATACTAATGAAGAGGACTTTATCGGGTATAAAGGTTCATGCATGTGACGTGTATGGTGGCTCCAATTGGACCATAAGCTTATGAATTATTAATGAGTGTTTTAAGTATATATATATCACCATTCACTTTGATCTAAATTGGGCTCCCTGTGGTTGATGGGGGGAGGAGGGTGGGATAGACCAATAAGGATTTTCTGAATTATATAATTTCAGTCACAAGATACTGTAGTGACAGTTCTAATTCGTTTTGTTCAAAGGAGGGAAACAATGGTTCTAGTTTCAATGATGGTTACAGAGAAGCCGACGATGGTGCAACATCCGAAGAGGAAGTAGAGAACGGCAGCCACACAAACTTTAGCCATTTTCCACCACTGATGGAAGTAAAACCTATTGATATCAATTAAAGTAACTACTGTATAGTAATGAAAAATACATCAAAGCAAATATTTTATAAATTAAGCCTGGTTCATATTAGTGTCAGAATCGAAATTGGAAGCAACATACACACTCCGTTCTTTACAGCTCAACGACAGTGCTTGTCTTTTTTTCCACACCTTGGTGATAAATGCAACAATGAGACTCAAACGTTGGCTACGATTCTGATTCAGATGCTAGTGTGAACCAGAATCTATAGCTTTCAGAGGGCTTGCTGATTCGACCAGATGTATAAATAGTTTACCTCATGTCATAATAACTTATTATATTGAAAGCAATTGTAGATGAAAAGTAATGCTAAACAGCCAAGACGTGACCAATTGTTGGCTGACACTTCACAAACATTAATGACATTGGCTAATGCAATTACCAATCTAATAGACTTTATGGATACAAATCGAACAAAGAATCTTAATCTCAAGTGAATGAAACAGGGTCTGAAATTGGGAAAAAATTGCACCACATCAAATGAGGTCTGTTGTTCTCTAACATGTTGGAACACAATCTTTTCAGTCATATGATACTCAATCTGCTCTATTCTCCGAGTGTCTTACTTGTGGAAGACTAATGTTTTTAAATCTCTGTTTGGGTTCATTTAGGGAGTAACTAAAAAGATTGTATATTCATTYCCCTCCCCCTCACTTAAAATAGATCAGCCCTACTATAGATTGAAGCTTTTAGAATTGTATATAGTTTTGTAGTTTTACAGCCTGTTTTATTGTTTCTGTGACTTAACTAACTACAGACATCTGTCATTTTGGCTCCTAATGATCATGTTTTTGGGAAGCAGCTGTACACAGGCTATCAAGTTTAYGAGGGGCTGAGAGCATTCTGATTGCCTTTACAACAGCTTATTTCCCATTGTAAAATGGCTGTTATGAGTTATAAATATCCCCACAACTAGAGACAGCCTATTTTCCATGGGAAAATAGCTACCAAGTTGCAGGAATATTCATCTCTGGCGATGAGAATGAATTGGAATGCTTTCAGCCCATTGTCAATTTGATTGATGGTAGCCAAAACGCCAGAAGTCTGAAGAGGGTTAAGTCGCAGAAACAATGAAACTGGCTGTAACACAAAGAAATATTTTAATAGATGTATAAAAGTAAACTTTACTTTATATTACTTAATATTAAAAACGACATGGAATAATTTTGAAAATGTTTTTTTAAAGAGCTTTTCAAGTACCTGCAAATGCTATCTGTGAGTTAACTGTGCCCTAACAATGATCAGCCAAGTTGTTTCAGATTGAAGGTTTGGTATTAAAGACCCATTGCCACTTACTGTGATGCATCACAATTTGTTTACATTTTGAATCGTGTCTCCACTGAAAAAACAATTCCAACCTTTTGAATAAACTCTTAGATAGTCCCCAAGGCCGTAAAATAATGTAAAAGAATAATTATTGTGCCTTAGTGCTATGTCGGAAAAGGATTTAATATGAAGTTATTATTCAATATATGAATCTTTCATGGACCACGAAATTCATCTGTGACTGCGGTGCATCACGGTAAGTGGGAATGGGTCTTTAAGCTTTAGATTTGACTATGAGTAAGAGTACGACTATGAGATTTTGTATCTAAAAGCCTTCCACCACAAACTGGTTTTTTTTCTTCTGTTTGGTTTAAAAGGAATAATCTTGTTTTGGTAGTCGTACTTTTACTTGTATAATCAACTCCCTAGAGTACAAACACTATAAGTGTGCAACATAAATACCACTATATACTGCTAAATTATGCTAATCCTATTGTTTTCTAKTGTTTAATTAGCACTATTTACTACTAAATAGTGCAAAGTGTTGCACACTTTTAGTGTTTGTACTCTATTGCTCTACTACTAATATAAGTCTTACTGGATATTTTTTCCATTGGCAAAACAAATTTTGGAACATGAATTTTTTTTACAACAGTAAAGGAGACACAAGAGTGTTCTGAATGATGTTAATACCAAGAGTGAACTTCTCAAAATATGATTTACCATTGGAAAAAATTTAGTGAGATTTGGTGCAAGCCTACCACTGATATATCTCTAGTTAAGAATAATAACATTTTTTTACATTTTTAAACTTTCATTTAATATTTTTTCCTGCTCTCTCACTAGTTTTTATACATCTACACAAAAAATGCTGCAAGTGAAAGTCGTTGTAGGTCTTATTAAATATTTTTTTAACAAAAATTTAAACTTGCCAACCGAATACTACAACTATAACCACCGGCATATTTCATTTGTATCTTTATATTTATTTTTTTGTTTCTTTTGCCCTCTTATAATTCTGGTACTGGACAGTGGCAGATCCAGGGGGGTCGAAGGGGTCCACAGAACCCCCTTTGAAGGTTTGATCTTTTAGGTAATAGAAATATGTCTTGTATAAATTTGAATAAATTTTGATTTTAATATTTTTACAATGTTTAATTTACCTTTAAGTTCCGTTACTAGATAGTAAATTAGGTGATTAGAGCCAATTTTTTTTTGTCAAACATCGACTAAACAAAAGAGAATTATACACAGTTTAAGAAACGGAACCCCCCTTTGAAAAAATCCTGGATCTGCCACTGCTGGAAGGTTAAAATTTGTGATATGACAGTCACATTTGCAGTCAATATTACAGCACAACATGTATGACCAGAAATAATGTATTTGCATACTTTCATGTATGGGCTTTTGTACGTTAAACTGACACATTTCTAAACAAGGATTTACTAAATAAAGGCATGTAAAAGTTTGTTTGGCAGCAAAATGCCAGTGCATAGAAGTATGCGAGTACATAATGGTCATACTTTAATGCGCTGTGCTATAATAACAATATGCAGTACCATGGTTATAAGACTGCCAATCAGCAAGGACAGGCATTTTACCCTATTACTTCATGGCCTGTAATACTGATTTATGCCTTCCTCTGGTGCTCAACCACAGTTTTCATACTGTAGCTCTACAGCAAAAGATTAGGTGAAGACACAGGCCGAAATTAAACATTAGAGTGAATATTCCAATCACAAACTTCTTCATGCCGTGTTGGATGATCTTCGAAGCTATTACGGTAATAGTCATTATTTTACACGCACACGAAAAAGCATGTACACAGCTATTTCGATAAGGTTTGGTGTGCGTTTTGTTCCATATTATGAAGCCCGAAATGCACTATTGTCAATGTAAATGAAATCAGCAACGATATGGAATTTTCCCAACGTTTGTCTGCATGTTTCTTCTTCCATATTTTCTTCTGTGCTGACATTATTTACATAGGATCCACCATACATTTTAAGCTTGGTATGCAACATGCCGCCTATGTACCTTCACCAACCTTTTTTGAAATCATCATTCCTTGCCATTGCTATGCCTGAATTTAAGGAGGTCACCTAATTTATTACGATTTTCTTAATGTTGTGGGAAACTGTTGAATATTGTCTTGCAGTTGCCCTATACCACCTGTGTCTGACTGAGGCAGACTCCATTACATATCCAAGTGCTGAGTTTTTTAGATGTACAATTAATCATATAGCAGCATCTTCAAAAACCTTTGAAGCCAACAAATGAGAAGACATGTTAGCTTGTTTAATCAGAAAAGACCTTAGATGTGTACTTGCAGAAAGAACACATACCTTTCCATGAAGGGATTGGGGTTAAGAGGGTCTGACGCCAGTCACAATGACTGGCCAAATTGTTTCAACTTGGTCATACCTCATTACTGGTCAAAATAACTGGCCAGGCAAAGACTGGCTGGCTGGACATATATTGAGGTTATGTAGTACTTTCATTGGAGTAGTGTGCAACCTGAAACACCTAAAATGGATGCTGAGTGTTGTGGATGGGGAGGGGGGGAAGTTGGTGCATGGACCTTAATTCTCTTTGAGGGGGCTCTGTAAATGCTAGTTCAAAAGTAGTAAACGGTACCTTTGGATATTATACCATTTTCCCCTTCTAAATTAATAAGTGTGTGTTTTCTAATAGTTGAGACTCTTACGTCTAACAGATTCTTGGGTCCAACTCCCAGTTTTGCCGTAACACCATCATCTTCAAATAATCTCCCCCTTCGTCCTTCAGAGGGAGGTGTGTATTGCCCTCGACTTGGACTGCTTGTATCTAATGGAGGGGTCAACCTGAAATAAATATGGATTTAAAATTAACACATGGCAAGATATCATTTAACAAGCATTATTGGTTCATTACAAAATAAAGTGATGGAATGGGAGAGGCTTTGGTATGCAATGTTGAAGTGGGACACTTGGAAAATTACATCTACCAAACTAGAAAATACACTGTCTTAGTCTAACAATAATAGCTGCTCAATGGTAAGACATGACACACAGTAATAGGTGTTTGGCTGGACAAGTACCAAATTTGACCAGACATTGCCTGTTGACTGGACATTGTTTATTTTTATCTTTCTTACAAGTCAAGTGGCTCATTGTAAATGATGATGGAACATGAAGAGGCTTTGGTGTGAGAGTTTGGAATGGCAACATTTGAAACCAGACTGGAAAATACCCTCCTTAAGAAATCTTATCTTTCTTACTGTCCATTTAAGTGGTTCATTGCAAATGTTGCTGGAGAAGCTTTGGTGTGAGATGTTGAAGTCGGTACTTGTAGATGTGTTGGCGAGCTGCAATAACCGTCCCTAAAAAGACATTCAAATTATTTAATGCAATGAGTGAAAAATTTTCACCCATGTTGAAATTCCCCCCAATGACTTAAAATCCTTTGAGATATAAAAAACAAAGAAATAGCCACCATGTTGGTTGATCTAATGAGAAGCTAATGAGGAATGCTTTGTTATTGTCAACCAACATGGTGACTATGACGTAACATGCAGCCCAAGAATAGGAGGATACCAATCAAACAGGCACCATGTTGTTTGATCTAACGAGAGAAGCTAAAAAGAATGCTTTGTAATTGTCAACCAACCTGGCAGCCATGATGCTACATGCACTCCAAGAAAAGATTAAATCAAAAATTGGTGGAAAAGACAATCTAACTTACTTATGCCAAGGGGGTCTGGCTACTGGATGGGATAGTAGATCCTCAAAGGATGCACTTCTGTCTGGAGTATGGACACTCTCTTGTGACAGGTTATGGGAATCTAGTAATTAAAAGAAAAATAATCCTGCGTTATTACTGTCACTACTCTACTATCATCAACTCTACTATCATCAACTCTACTGCAATGGAACCCCTTGGGCAATAGAAGAAGGGGACACCAAAGGAGATTGAAGGGCTGTGTGTCTTGAGACCTTGGAGGTACACCCTCTTAGTGTGATGAGGCAACTCAATCAGCCTAGTACAGAGGACACTCAACGAAAGGGGTGTTGGTGCTATGTTGTTGACCCACAACAGCAATAGATGATGATGATGATGATGTGTTACTACCAACAAAACGAAAATTCCAAAATGATCTATCCAGATTATCAGTAGATCTCTTCGTGAGTCATTCATTTGTGAATAAGAGTCTTTACTTCAAGAATTCAGTATCCGTATTCGTGTGTCTTCTAATGTGTAACTGTTAATAAACAAATATATGATACTCTATGAAATGACATGTGATCTTAAAACACTACGACCAAGGTAAAGAGATTTATTAGCCATGCATAATACAGTCAAAGAAAGAAAGTCAAATTGGATCAAAAAAAAAAAAAAAAAGTGATGAAAAATTGATTTCAAAAGAGTCTTCTTTAAGAATAACATGCCTGAATACCATTGGGATAGTAACGAAGTACAGATATAGAGTACAGTCTACAGGAGTGAACATGCAGCTTGATCTATTACTTACCTTCCATAGTAGAATAACTAGTTTCAGAATGAAATGATACATCCTGATTGGGTGTTGGGGTGTCAGTTGACCAAAAACCTAGAAAAACAAATTATAATCACCATAATAATTTAACGTTTATGAGTAATGCTGTTTGAAAGTAAAGTCCTTATTTAACATCAGTGTTTCTTTAGCTAGTAGCTGGTCTACCAGGAGCTGATGGTGCATACTTTACTCCTCCCTCCATCAGTGCACTGTTCAAATGTGCATAAAGTGTCAATATCTATGAGAACTACACCATTATGATTAATGTCAGTCAAACTTACGTTTTAGTGGCTTGAAGGGCCATACCAGTAACATTATTATCCACATTACATATATTGATATCCAGATGTAGAACTTTGAGAGGGATGAATACTGAAATAGTAAGATGAGATGATACAGTACAATTTGTAAAAATATGTGAATTTCAAAAAATATTGAAAGTTTTTCTTGCACTAGATGATACTAGACTGTTTGTATCACATATTGCAAAGAGAGTAGAAACCGTGTTCAGTAGGATGAATGTTGAACTGCAGGTACTTCATTATAATATATTTTATATGTCAAACTGCACTAGAGCAGCAGCATCATCATTATTAATGAAAAAGGAAGATTAATAACATCAAATGTAGGACATGTGGATGGAAAAGAAAAGAAAGGAACAAGAACAGAGAAATAAAGAGAGCATAAAGAAAGGGAAGGAAAGAACCTTGGAGTGAGGGAATAATATCCATAATTATTTTTTTATTAATATTTGCAATTTTTAAAAATCTACCAAAAGTTACCTACCATCTTACTGTAATAGTAAAGCCATTTTCGTTTTCTCCAAGTCTGAAATAAAGCCACGTAAATTACAATTACCATGTTTCTTGACTGATATAAATTTCATTTCAATATAACCAAGGCTTTTATTTGCAAAAGTTTGTCCGCGTATAGATTCCATGAGACTTCACAATATTAAATTTTCCTCTTGTTGTGAGCTGTTTTGCTCACCCCCAATCCCTGCACAACCAATAATTAGTCAGGGGAAAAACTCAACTTGACTGAGTTAGGAGGGAAATGAGGGACTGTTTACAGTGCAACGACCATAACCGGGGCCACTTAGACAGCGAGAACCAATCAAATTGTAGAATGAAAATAATACATTCAACTTCCCAGTGCAGCCAATCAGAAACCAGCAGAAAACAATAGCCTATAGATTAATTTGTCATTTGTCACTAGCTGAAATAGGAAACTCTGAAAAAATCTCTGAAGGAATCAAACCTATGACCTTCGGATGCCATTCAGAAACATTATCCTTTCAACATATCCTTTTATTCCCATGTGAAAATGACGATGGCTATGTAATTGTTTACACGTAAAACCAAGTTTAAGTTACCATTCTCGTGATTGGATTAGACATGGCTTGGCATGGTTTGTAAATTCATTCTACAATTTGATTGGTTCTCCCTGTCTAGTTTGCCCTGGTTATGGTAGTGACATTGTAACAGTCTATGAACCCACCTTTTTGACAGATGGCTGGGCAAGGATGTCATCTACAGTGGGTCTTTTTCTAGGATCAGGATCCATCATCCAAGTTATTAAATGACTCAGCTCTGGAGATAAACCTGGAATAAATGGACACAATTTTACAGGTACCAAGAGTGGTCGTCACCACCGGACTCAATGGTGCCTCAGTCATTTATTTATGTTAAAGACCTGGCACTGAGGATATGCAGGACAGCAACGGCAATGATGGCAAGCAAGCAGCAGCACTAATGGTCTACTTTAATAATAAAGCAGCCATTTTGCTAGGGGGCAAAACAAAACAAAAATGATGGAAAATATATGGAGTTTTGTGTGTTTTTCTTCTTTTTTGGGGGGGGGTAAAGGTGATTGATGTGCTGTCTTATTCATCTTTTGTTGTATTCTCTGTTGATATCAATTGATGTCATTGGGCACCCCATGCCTTGTGACGCCCTGTTGCATATCAAATGTACCACATGAAATGTCCTTGTTTTATGTGGTAAAGAAAACAGCAAGTCATTAAACGTAGTATTTGTACCTTGCGTAAATGTTTTAGGTAGCTGACCATTTCTTAACTGATGCCAAGCATCTCCTCCCTTTGGTAGCTCTATGTCACATGCAGTTTCTAAAATACTGATTCCTAAGCTAAAGAATTAAAGCATCAATTGTTAATAGATATTCTAGATGAACTATTGAATAAGTCTAATAGCTGTTGCAAGTTGTCAGTAGGGTGCTGGTAAATTGTCGTATCTTGTCAGCAGGAATAGTAGTTTGTTTTAGTGTGCTGGTAGGGTGCCAGTATGGTGTTGGTAATTTGTTGTAGTTTGTCAGCAGGAATGGTTGGTTGTTGCAGGTTGTCAGTAGGGTGTTGGTAGGTTATCAGTAGGTTGTCAGTAGGATGTTGGTAGGTTGTCATAGGTTGTCAGTAGGGTGTTGGCAGGTTGCCAGTAGGGTGTGAGTAGGTTGTCAGTAGGATGTTGGTAGGTTGTCATAGGTGGTCAGTAGGGTGTTGGTAGGTTATCAGTAGGTTGTCAGTAGGGTGTTGGCAGGTTGCCAGTAGGGTGTGGGTAGGTTGTCAGTAGGATGTTGGTAGGTTGTCATAGGTGGCCAGTAGGGTGTTGGCAGGTTGTCAGTAGGGTGTTGGCAGGTTGTCAGTAGGGTGTTGGTAGTGTGTAAGTAGGATGTTGATAGGTACAGTAGTTGCATGGTTGAATGTTGGTTGGATATCGGTAGGTAACAGTATGCTGTTGGCCATAAAATATTTATAGCATCATCTACACATAGTATTACCTAAAAATATCAGCTGCTTTTGTAAAACTTCCCTGCATAAGTTCTGGAGCAAGGTATTTTGGATCTCCTTCCTGTGCATTAGTGACCTCTTCACACTAAAACCACAAGCAGAAAAATTAATATGAGTCAGTAGAATTAGACAACATTTGCTAGAAAAATTATTAGATACCGGACATAAAATATGACTGGTCAACAGACAATGTCTGTCCAAACACCTAATTTTGACTGGTCCAATTGACTGGTCACACTGACTGGATACACCAACTGTTGATCAGTCTTGCTAGAAATGCAGAACATCCATGTGGCAAGTCATTACGACCAGCCACTGATCATGAGCAGCCATTATTTTTAGCCCTGTCTATGTATTAAAAAGTAGAACATTATGATGGAGAGAAGATATTATGCCATTCCTTTATCAGACAGTTAACCTGTTTATCTTGCTCTTAATCAGACATAAAATAGAGCAAGCATATACGTTTATGACTTTCAAATCAGAGCCTATATTCTAAGGGTGCCAGACTCACCTTAGACAGCTCTAGAACTAACCCAAAGTCTCCTATTTTGTAAAGTTTGTCTCTTCCAACAAATACATTAGCAGGTTTGATGTCCATGTGCACCATATTGTGATCATGCAAATGTTTCAGACCCTACAAAGAAATTGGATATGATGTTATACATGTTTAAAAAATCTAATCTAATTGGATTTACACTCCATGTTGGACTGAAAGCCTGCCAGGTTTGCAATGCACTTGATAAGGCTAATGATGATAGATTGAAGATGCTTCAATGGTTTTTCCCTAGGTTCTGCAGTTTTCATCCCTCTATATCACATTATTTATCTTTATCATATAATTATCCATAAAATACCTATATTTCTCCTTTTCGAAAAACTGATATTTTCACATGTGAAAATATCGTTACCATGCTATTATACACGCCGAACGTATGATTTATTACTACTATACCATGCTATTAGTTTATACCGTAAATAAAAACTTTTATAATAATAAAAAGCTTATTAAGTTGATTTTATGGATAATAATAATAATAAACAGAATATTGCATGGGCACTTGGAGATATGAAATTTACCAAGATAAATTTTGTATCTCCACATGCTCATGTAATATCCTCTATATTACTTATTTATTTTTATATATTATTAAATTATATATATCATATTTTTATACAATTTGAGTAATAAACCTTCCTTTATCATATAATGTATATTATTAATATATATTTATGTCCTTTTACATTATTGTCATTCCTTATCCCATTATATTTTAATCAACCCTTTATATCTCTATTGTTCTACTAAACCACTTACCAAAGTCAGGTCAACCAACAAGTTCCATACTTCATTTTCAGGAAACGATTCCATGGTCTCGAGAGAATTCTTCAGACTTCAATAAAATAAAATATTTAAAATTATTACTTGATCTTTGCCTCTAAGTCATTTCCAATTGTTTTGACCTTATTACTGAATGCAGCATGCACTCAATGCAGCATGCACTCTATGCAGCATGCATTGAGCATGCACTCTATGCAGCATGCACTCAATGTTATCTTGTACTAACCTCATAACACAGAGCTCTGTGAGAATATATAGATTTTGTCTGGGAAACAAGAGTAAAAACTGGATCAATCCATTAAAGCTGGAGCTAGTTTTGTTCAGTTGCAATACAGTTGGAGACTATGACAAATTATGAGCATTCCAAACATACTGGTACTGTACATAAACTATTGATCCATCCCTACCTTTCTTCCCAGGCCTTCACAAATCTTACACAATTTGGATGTCGTCTCAACAGTTCATGTTTATTCACTTCTTCCAGTTTATACCTCCTAAAAAGTGGCACATAACCATAAAAGAAAATGATGTCAATAGCAAAGAAGGGTACAGGGCTTTAAGAATTAACAGCCAGTCAGTCTCCAGTCATGATGACCAACCAATTCAGCTCAGTCATAATACATGTACCTGTTTCTGGCTCAATGTTACTGGTCAAAATATCCAGCAAGGTAAAGATTTGACTGGAAAATTGTTGGCAATAATATTGTGCTATGACCAGCTGTTATTTTGGAGTCCTGATATTGAGATTCATGACTTTTATTAGCTGATTGAAACCCAGGGATATCATAATCAAAATATATTCATAATCATATCAAGCAAGGAGGAAAAAAACAAAAACTGGACTCCCTGTTGAACCACTGAAAATGCACCTGCTTTGATAGCCCTTTTTTACTTAAAACCATATTTTTTCTCATTATTCTCTCCAAGATCTATGGGGCTCAATCAAGGGAGATTACAATACCCATCTAATAAAAGCACACAAACATGTAATATTCTGTGCTGTAGGATTCTGTAGGATATTTACCCTAAATTGACAATGAAACAAGCTCATTGATCACAAGAGAATTAACTTCATATCAAATGTCATTTAGACCAAACATATTAACAAGTTGAGCTCACCTGTCAGCATCACCACGAAATCTTTCCCGTGACTTCTTGACTGCATACAAACACCCATCTTCCTTGCTTCTTACTTTATATACCTTAAACCGCATTGACAAAAACAGCTGATTAGTCATAAAGGACCAATGTAAATTACAAAATTTTTAACTTTGGTGCAAAATAAACTATAGAAATATATAAATAATTAGAAAAAAAGATTTATAATGCTTACTTTATAATCAAAAAACAAATTGCTAGAGCAATAGCCAACTTTTGATTTTCTGGTTGAGTGATAAAGCACAATACAATCCGAGTCGAGGCTCCAGAAAATTACAATTAGCTATTGTTTCCCAGGAGCTCGCTTTGTGCTTGATCACTCAACCAGAAAATCAAAAGTTGGCTAGTGATTTATTGTTTGATCCTTATGTTCTTACCTCACCAAATGATCCTTCACCTAGTCTACTTATGACCTCAAAACACTACAAGACAAAACATTAAAAGTTTAGAGCGTGAAAGACAGCTAGTGGATACAGCTACTGGAAGTTCGCTTATCAAATCAGTGTCACAATAAAAATTGATTAACAAATTAATGCAACTTTTCATATCAAGCATAAAGACAGGCAGAAAATCTTGCATCTTTCAAAATAATTATTATTTGCCTAATGATGCTTCAATCCATCATATATGTGACAAACTTAGAGTTGAAACAAAAAAGTCTGCTCAGGTTGTGCATCACTGGCTATCAAATGTGATGCCTTATACAACAAGAACCACGGAGAACCCTAAAATGTCAGGTAGGGGGGAGAGGGGGTACTTAAATATTGGAAAATATAGCTGAATAGTATGCATACATTTAAAAATAAAAGTTGGGGATGTGGGCTTGAATGGAAAACTAAGTAGATATTAGCAAAACGTTGGGGCTCATACATGTTTAGCATGTTTAGCATACAAATGAAATACGACATACAAACCTGTTTGAAATATAGCTCTTTGGATTTTGCATCGTAGTGAGGACTTACAAGTTCAGGTGATTCTAATTCTTGAACATTTAGTCAAGGTAAATAGAGTTTGTAACAACTTTGAAAGTAAAAAATCCCTTTAACCCTTTCAAAATGATTTTGGRTCTGAGGCTAAAGCCTGGTTTCCGTATGTTGGCGACATGCCTGCGACATTATTCTATTGATGGAAACCCTTTATTGCTGACATCACACTGTCCAGGTTTGTTGCCGACATGCCTGCTAAAGTTGAGTTGATATTAAGTCAATGTCCCCAACCTGTCTGTGACGTCAAATGAATATGGGAACATTATCGGCAGTGTACCTACAATGTTGGGTTTTGCATGCTTCCAGTGCAGCTTGGGACATGACTGTGACAAACATCGACAATGTTATTACAATCATGGCAGGCGTGCAGCTGATATATGGGAACCAGACATAACAGGAAAGGATTAACGGCGCTAAGTCCACTGATAAGAAGTTTCATTTCTTTTTCATTTTCCTGATAATTTTGAAAGGGGTTTATACCATACCTATCTGCTACGTTAAAAAAGATAATTTAGAAAAGGATTGCAAGTTGTCTTTTGTATACGTTCTTTTTGAACATCGATTTCACAGAAAATGATTTAAAAATCATCATCATCATCAATGTAGGGAAATTATACATAAAACATAACTTGATTCTTTGCTTTTCTAATGCGTAGTAAATAAAAAATCTTTAGATAGTTCGGGCTACTATTAGAATAAACAAAGAACTCTTTCATTTGCATCTCGTAGTAAAAATATTTCATTCAAAAATCCTTAGATCGGTAGATAGTTCGGGTTATTATTAGGAGAACAAAGAATTCATTAATTTGCATCTCGTAGTAAAAACATTTCATTCAAAATCCATAGATCGGTAGATAGTTCGGGTTATTGTTAGGAGAACAATGAATTCATTCATTTGCATCTCGTAGTAAAAAAAGATTTCGTCGTAAACTTGTTTAGAAGGTGAAGGCGCGATTATAAAAAAATTATCCAATTTAAAAATGAGCAAAGAAAATAACGCAAATATGATAGAACAGAGTTGAATAAAGTTGATGTGGATAAAGCAAATTCAAATCAAAGGCAAATCATAAAAATACTAGGCTTAGATCTCGTGAAGACAAGTCTAACATCTATGTTAAAAATACTAGGCTTAGATCTCGTGAAGACGAGTCTAACATCTATGTTTAAAATACTAGGCTTAGATCTCGTGAGGACGAGTCTAACATCTATGTTAAAAATACTAGGCTTAGATCTCGTGAGGATGAGTCTAACATCTATGTTAAAAATACTAGGCTTAGATCTCGTGAGGACGAGTCTAACATCTATGTTAAAAATTATACCAAGTGTGATGGTCCAAACTTTTACTCACAGTGCATGCAAAAAAGTAAATCTTAAAAGGATACTGCATCCATTTTCCTTAAAGCTGACAGCATGAGCTCCTTCGACATGTTTTCTTGAACGCTTGAATATTCGGCTGACAGGAGGAGCAGACTTGACTGGCGGCCTCGGTGGTAAACACTCGACATCAAAACCTCTTCTCGTCTTCTTGTGACTAAAAGTCGACTCGTTTACTAAAACAGGTATTGGCCGAGGACTCTTGAAGGTTTGAGACATGGCTTTAGAGGCTTTGGTGGTGTTTTTTGGTGGATAATTCCATGGAAAAACCGACGGTTCTCTTGTCAGGTAATGCAAAGATGGCCGTCTTGCTCCGCACTTTACAAAATTTGGCGCCAAATCCTGACACAGTTGGGTAACTTTCGCAAGCACAGGGGGACGGGTATAGTAATACTTTTTACGCTCCTATTTTAAGATCATTTTTCTCTCGTACATCGTTAAAATATAAAACAGTTATCTTCTTCTTGTTATTTATTTTTTATTTTTGATAAAAATAGTATTGCTTTTTTATTTTTTTAGCCATTTTTACAAGTAAGTTACTTTAGGGTACTTACCTTCCCCCAGTTGAGGTTGTTTTGAGCCCAAACTTACGATAAACACGTGACTCAACAAGAGATGGCATGACATTCAAATGATCAAACGTAGTTTCCTTTTGAATGGATTTGTCAATGATCACATGGTAGTATCAGTCACGGGTTAATAAAGGAAAACAGATCACAAGATTCTAATAAGTATCTCATATGATTTTTATTTCAACAGGATTCAAAAGGATAGCACATGTTCTCTTTTATTTTTCAAAGTGTTTTGCATCTGATTTCTAGTTGTTTGACCAACGTACGACCTCTCAAACCCGTCTCTTTTCTGATCGCACTTCTAATTTTTGAAACAGTATTAATTTTTTTTTTTGCAATGAAAAGTATAAAATATTTTCATCGAGTTCAACACACAAACACAAGACTGATAGACAAACTCTTGAGAATGTGGAGTGAGAAGCTAATACTGATGTGGTACGTGGAGAAAGAATGCAGAGGGATCTTGATTGGTATATTATAGGGCCCTAGTCACACGAAGGTTGGGTGACCTACTTCTGGGGAAGAAATGGGAAAAGCAATATTTATATTCCTGAACCTAGGGACACAAATCAACATTTTGTTCCAAAAGCATATATTTTTATTTGACTATGTCATCGCAATTTTTATTTCCATTATATAACCTCTGAGCTACCTCACGTTAGGTTAGCCCTCTCAGGGATTTTACATATTCATTTAGAAAAAATAACTGTTATGAAACTCGTGTTCTGATTGGTTGGCAGCGCGTGCTATATGAGCAAACACAGCACGCGCGCACATTCATATTCAAAATAACTGTAACCATAATTCCTATTTGATAAAAGAAACCAAAAAACCTTTTGATGTGTGGACTTTGCGGTCCCAACTACATAAAACCATTACCAAATAAGGTCCCAATCTGGGATCATTATCTTGACCTTGTCCCTGGCCAACAACCTTAACAGAAAAACCTTTATAACTTCTTCGAAATAACATAAATTTTTGTTCCTTTACATGGAACCACGGTTATCTAAACTACTGAACATTCCTATAATTTGAATAAAATATCATGTTGGTTTATTTAAACTAACTTTATTTAAACTAAAATACTAATCATGGATCTTCTGGCGCCAACACTAGGGCAGTTCTACAGGGTATATACACCTGAAAGATAAGCCACAGATATTAGGAGAAAAAATAAAGAATGCCTGCTAACTAGCAGATCAAGGAGCGCACTATCAATTTAAAGCAAATTATAGACCGATGTTTATTAAGCTGCATAGGAGTAGGGAGGTGGGTTCAAATTGATTTTTAGGGTGAGATGTCCCCTCCCCCAGCCTCAAAAAGAAAAAAAAAAAAAAAAAAAAAAAAAAAGAAGTAGGGTATTAAAAACTTTTAAAGGATGCTGAAATTCGACTA